CGAACATCACCCGCCTCAACGCAGCTCCATTACTAACATGTCTATGCAATAATGGTCACTCACACGCTTAGTCTGATTTAGACTGAATATCAATAACCGTACAAGTGGAGCTTTGTCACTCGCATTTAACAGCCTCGACACTAAGGCAGTACACGATAGCTTAAACTTGGTAATGTTCAGAGGAATTGTAAACGCTGCAGCGTTCGATGATGAATTTGTATCCACTGCCAATGAGAAATTGCACTAAATTGCAGATAGGGCCGAACGATTCAATTTCTCATGTTCATATTACTACTACATTTTCCGCTAACCATACGGCATAAATAAAGAAACAGGTTGCCTCCAAAACAATAGAAATTTACGAGAGTTCTCGCCCTCTTTGATAGCAATTATATTCGTATCGTAAGTAAATATATTGTCCTTTTCAACTTATTATCAAAGTTCTAATTCGCTTCACAGTACAGTTGATAGCTACATGCAATGGCTGAATGAAATTCCAACACTTATTCTTTGGCGAATTCAATTCTGAATGTTCACCACTGATTGCTACTCTCATAGTTACGATAATCTATCCGAGTTGCACGGGGGACAAATCCTTTAGGATTAATCAAATAGAAATATTACACATACATAAATACTGTCATGAAATATAGGATATAATTGATATTATGTAAAATTATAATAAAACTGCCCTCTTATAATTTGATATGCAACGTTACTGCAATGCAGTTCATAGCCCAGTAGATATGCACACATTTTGAATCATTTATCGGCCGGATACAGAAGACTTGCCAAAATTTTCACGACTCATGCTTGAAGGAAAAATTTCCTCCAGCTATCCTCAAGAATGAGCGGCAAAAAAAATCCAGCAAGAATCGGACCTATGGCCGTATGCAAATGGAAGTTCGGGGGCTTTAAATATATACAGATGCTCACGATTATTTATTGTGCAAGTCAGGAGCACGGTCGTAACGACATCAGGGAGTTTCAGAGGCACAAACACTTCACTCAAGTTGCCAGCGGCAGAAAAAAGCCGTAAACTGCCGTCAGGAGGCAAAACTCTGGCGCGCTGGAGTAGAGAGACTCCACCACACGCATCCAACACTACAGACACACAAGCCAGCTTGCAGGTTCGCTGGGACTGGAGAACGACTGCATGCACGAGAGCTAAAATTCTCTAGAAAAAAGTATACAGAAACTACAAAGGTCAGCTCCAAACAATTCATGCATCCTTGTTTCTAGATTTTCATCGATCTGATAAATAACTTCATTTTTGTTTCATGAACATGGTAGGCTGACTAAGATGATAAATAAATAAGAAATTTGTAGTGGAAACAGATATATAACTTTATCAAGTTAGCATAGTGGCATTCAAACGATCTTTTAAACATCGCATAATACAATTTTCGACAGCTAAGCTTCTTTGGGTGTTTAACAATTAAATTTTGCAACAAGGCACTGGAATCGAAGTCCGCTGTGGAAAATAATGGTTGGAAAATTAGCACTTACGGAGGACAAGTGGTGATGCATTTCTTTTATGTCAACATTAACGAAAAAAGATTTAAAAGAAGATTAATCTATTTTTTTCTAAGTTTGAAAAAGAAAATTGTGGCATCGAAAAAACTGTCTATGAAAGAAAGTGCCGGGCAATGAGCAATAAAAATCAGAGACGGGGCAATAGGCATAAATACGCTAAGGATCTAAGAAATTGATGCAAAATACAGGACGAATAAAATGATGCATCCTATAAAGTCCTTTCTAAATAAAAGTAATAAAGTAAAAAATAGATTACAACTTCGGACGCATGGCATACATGCGCTTTGAACGATTCAACACAAAAATTGTAGCAAGTATTCAGTACTTTACGACAATTTATTTTAGTTCAAACTCTATCGAAAAAATTCCAGTGGAGAAGACAGTAAGAAAGTATTCAAAAGCTGATATAAAAATCCACATCAAAGAAGGTGAAGACCATCTTGTTGCACAAACCTCAGACTCAGGAAGTCGTCAATATTGTGGCAGGGAGGAGTCGGTGTTGACGCCTCACCGTTTGCTTATCACCGCGCAAAGCAGGCGCGGCCGTCGAGGAAAACACGCTTCTGTCAAATGTTCGTCGTGCTCGTGACCGTCTTTCAACGCGCCCATGGAAATATCACTGCAGCGCGGCATTTGCGGGGATTGCCGCAATCTTGTCGATCATCACTCAAACTTCTTGGTGACCCAAAACAGTCTAAATTTAAGACGTTTGCAGCCTAAATTCAAATCATCATTGCTATTTAAGCATGAAGATAGAACGAGAGGCACAAGAATAATCCACGAATGATATATAGTCAACAAAAACACCCTGAACGAGCTTACTAAAATTGTTTGCCATCTCATTCTGATTCTATTTTTCATCCTATGGAAGATCAAAGAAAGTGAGGCGCAAAGTGAGCGACGGAAGGATCTCGATATCGACGCTTCCCCTGCTCATAAATTGCGCACAGAAGTCGGAAAGCAATACAAAGAGAATAGGCTTATGCTAATCTCTGCTCCTCGCAAGAATGATCGGCGACAGGCTGTGCGGGAATGATACTTCTATGGTTAATGACGAACGATTTGAGGCCTGCAGCACATTTGGGAGAAATCTAATAAGCGCGTCTAGATCGCCTTGCTCAGCAAATTTTTTCCAACGAATACTCAAACCCGGTTTCCCAAGCTCCAGAAATACTAATGAATAGTAATAACGGATTCCAGCTTTTGTTCACGATAATTTGGTGTGAAAAAGTTCCCCTTCATAAACGGGACCGAGTACGACTTCGGCGTTTAATTAGTCAAATGCATACTAAGAGCATCGAAAACTTAATGACGACCATTCATTCCATTTCCTTTTAAGCAAACGAATTATTTGGTCAAGTGCGTTCGATACTGATGATGTCAAGATAAAGCGCGTCAGTCAGACTAGGCATCTTTGAGAGCTATCAATATCGCAACAATCTCTTCACGATTATCTATTATCCAATGTACTAGAGGATGAAGTATTTAATGTACGATGTAACCAAGCTTTCGATAATTCTGGCTTTTCTGCCGTTGACAGCAGCGAGATCGCGCGCGTCTGCAGGCAGCTCACCGCAGTTAATATTCCGAGTGGTGAGAGATGAAGGACGGTTCAGAGGGGGTGGGAGGCAGCCCCAATTTTATAGGGCAGTTAACACCACGTGCTCTTCCGCGACCACCAGCCAACAAAAACCTCGACAAATAACCTGAGAGAAAAGGCACACTGGACAAAAATTCGGCCAAAATACAGGGAGTGGAAAGTTGTTGGAACTGGGGATCTTTTTCGCCGAGTGTCATAAAGAATACGACGGAGGTTCAGTGACATTTAGAAATGAAAAATGTTTATGCAGAGAAAAATATCAGCCACGCAAAGCTTTCAGAAATTCACAAGATTCAAAAGATAATAGATATAATAAAATATTATTAACGACTCAGAATAGAATTATGACCGATAACCGGCATTCGCAGAAATACTCCAAGGTCGGAGCGTACTTTCCATTTTCTATTGGGAAAATAAAATCTCAAACACTGTCACTTGACGTAGTTAAACGCAAATTGAAACCCTGCCGGATATTTGAATTATAGCAACTAGAAGCTAGAGAAAGAAGATATCGAACACGTTCAGAAGTTGCAGCATGAGGATCTACAAATACGCCGGGCTGCCCCTCAGTTCACATTTGAAGGTTCATCGTAGATAGACGTAGTGGTGGTAGCTCTCGGGAGGCTGGAACGAGCAAAGCACCCACTGGATATTATGCAAAATTGTGCCAGCGTCGATAAGTTTGAGCATAAAGCTTGCAAATGACAGTGTCGAGAGCGCAGGTTACGACCTCATCAAAGCACGAACGTCCTAGACGAGAAAACAGCAATAAAGTTTGCCTTGAATACAACAGAGGAGGAATAAATAATAACTAAGACAAATTAGGGATTTAAGAATTGAACCAAGATGAAAGATCTGAAGGAATTTCTGTTAACTTTCGTAGCAAGTGAAGAAGAAGAAGAGCCGCTGACGCAGATAAATGGCGGTGCGTGTTCTGAATAATGCATGGAGCCACAGCTCCACAGGATGGTAATGCAAACATCGCTTTCCTCACCCGAGGTGTTGGCGATTCACACAAAAAATTGGCAATGTGTCGATCAATTCGGACGAAGCTTCTCAATTTAAACAAACGTGTTCATTCTGCACTTATAAACAAGAACTCGATCAATCTTCGTAGCTGATCCATTATATTGTGCCACCGTTGCTCGGCGTCGACAACGAAAATTCCCATCAATATCTAGCAGATCTGACCACAAGAACAAGTTAGATACGCCTAAGACATTCAGTCAAATTCGACGCAAAAGATCGAACGGCGAGAGGAGCGAAAGCCATTTTTCATCTGAAGACCATGAAGCATGCATGGACGGCCGCGCTGATATGCTAAGGAGACCGGTTAGTTTATCTGATATGGCAAGTCATTTACGAAGGGCGCTCCCGCACTCTAATTGGGGCAAGACACGCATCTTCTAAAACACTCGCCAGATAAATTTCTACCGAATCTAGCAGTGACGGAGGTTAAGTGGCGAAGAAATTTACAAGCACATTATGGGTGCTAGTGCCAGTCCCAACATGTTTTTTCGCTTGAACACTGTGATGAAAAGAGCCTGCTAAGATTTATCGAATCATAAACCTAATGGATATCAACGATGCATCGAAAACCTGATGTATCACAAAAATTACACATAATTTTTTTCGTTAATTAAAGAAGCAATTCGAAAGAGGTGAATAAAGGAAGAATGGAGTTTGAACTTTTCGAAATCACCGTCTCATTCAACTCGCTCAAGTACACGTAGCGCCCTCTAACTCGTCCGTGATTGTTGGCTTAGCTTGAAAAGCCGTCAATGATTGATTGGCCGACGTAGTTACTAACTCGTGACTATTTTTGATAGTAAGGCTCCAGATCTTATACTACTGTAGTACTCACCCGATTACGCGTGAGCACATAGAGGTGTTGCTTGGACTCGTGCAGCGGCATGTCAGGCAGCACGGCACTACCCGCGTGTACAACCTCCTCGCTGTACTGCAGTCCGCTACCGGGACCCGTCGCCAGAGCCTGAGTAAAGTTCACAACATACGCATTACATTTACAGCCACAGGTTTTGTTCAGTTTATAGTTATAATAGTTAAATAATATCAATAAAGTTCAACCTAAATTCGAAACGATTATAATGTGGTATAAAGATGAAGTTCTACAATGGTTAGTACAAACCGGCAACGAAAATTTACAAATTTCCTTCCAAAATCAACTCCTTAAAAGCATCCAAGAGTAAAACAAAACAAAAGTAATAATAATTTATTTTTCGTACAAATAAACGCCATGGACGTATAATGCAGATTATATCCACGAGACTTAAATACTCGTCGGGACTTAAATACTCGAATATTCGAGAAGTAAAAAAATCAGGAAAGTAATTTCAGGCTCGCCATCTTTGCAAAAGCAAACGTGCAACGTTACTAGCATATTTGTAGAAACTTTAACGAAACAAATTCTTTACTTTCAATTGTTTAGAATAACTTTTCGTGTGTGATAAATAAAATTTATGCACTCAATGGGATATGGTTCAAATTATTGCTAAAAAAATGCAGCCAACCGTTTATGAAGTTCACGTATCTTTGAGAAAGATGTGCAAAACGTAGAAAATTTTGCAACTGGGTAAAATCGTGTATAAATAATTAATTGGTCCAATAATAATCACACACAAAAGATGGAAAATAATGTCAATGTCTGAGCGGCATCTCAGTTGGACCTAGAAGTAGCTGCTAGCCAAATAAGCATAAAGCACTTCATGAAAAATGGAAGACAGCCAAGGCCCTGAGCGATACGACGGCGAGCAACATGCCAGGGTATCTTTCAGTGACTTGTCAAAAGCATTAATATTGCACTCAAATAATATAAAATTCTGCAACGACCGCTTTTGAATTGTCAGAAGTAAATGGTAAAATATTTAGGAGTGGCGTCAAAATCTTGGATTTTATAGCATTCTAAAAAAACCTTTACATCGTGTGGAATAAGGTGTTGTAGGGAGAAAAATACAAAAAAAAATCCTCGATCTTGAAATGGACCCAAGAAATTCATAATTCTCTATCAACGACGACGATGACGATAAAATATATTTGATATTCGTAATTTGCAGCCCTGGTCTTGTCGATCTACTCGAGGAGCAGAAATAAAGACACCACAAGCAAGCAAGAACACTAGCTGCTGACGGTTCAAGGAGGCTGCCTACAAGTAGCAGACACAGTCACAACAAACAAGGTCTGAAATACGCATGTTTAGCAAGCATTTGTCAGGCAACATACTTCTCACCCCTCACGTTCAGTCTCCGCAGCCCTCTTCAAACATTGCGTTTGACTTCCGACCAGTAATTCTCACGCTTGGCTTGACGTAAGCAACAGCATGTTACTTGATGTACAATTGTAATACGAACGAACGAACGATATGCAAGCAGAAATCAATCTTAATGCGAGTATAGTGCCTTCAAACTACGAAGAAATAGCAAGGATGTAGAAAATTGCAAACATCTTACGTAGCACGCGAAACAAATTAATCTGTGATGCGCGGAGCAGTAAACAAGCCATGAGCGCATCATCGCCCGCTAAATTGGATCACAGTTCACCGGGTTGGAAAATAATTACATCACTCGAAGTAATCCCAACCACAAATAATATATTTCCGGAAAAGCATGAATCACACCCGAGAAAAATGGCTGTAACTGAAGATGTGCGGAAAATTAAATCACGGAAACATTGAGTGCAAACTATGTCCTCCACATAATAAACAAATAGTGCAGAACCATAATTCTACATTCACACAACATGGGTTTTTGTTTTCAATAAGCCAAGAAAATACATCACTGAAACATCGGGTTGCGGTATGTAAAATGTATACAAATACACTAACGTGACTTATTTAATTCAGCTAGTTACATTATTTCTGGCTGAAAGTTCCTGAAGAAAAACGGAATTTTTGGTCGGATTAATAATTCCTCAACCAAAATTACAATTGCCTAGAGCAGAACAAACCAACAGTTTGGCATTCATAGTGGGGAGACAAGAATAAAACCGGTATGAATGTCAACAGTGTATGACGTAAATACGCTGTAAAATCCCTTCTTTATAAACATGCAAGAGCTAATTGACCACATTTTTAACAAATATAAGCTTTTGTATAGGAACGACCAGACTTTCAAGTTTAAACTTTATATATTAAAGAACAAGTGTTGTATAATTATTAATTGGAATAATAAAATTAAATTTGGAGAAACTTGTCAACAATGATATGGCAAATAATTTCTCGCAATTGTCAGCCTCTTTATTAATCATCGAGACCGAAGCTCAAAGCTCTAGCATTTGAAGCAATAATGCGGCAAGAAAACAGTTCTGATCAGCTCACTATTGATATTATGTCAGCTGGAAGATCAATGCAGTTGAGGAATAGCTCAGATCCCTAGCATTACGATAGATTTACAGCGATGGCTAGGTTTCAAGGAAGGCAATTGACTCTAATGACTCATTAGTCGCCGTCAGAGCGTATCACGGGAACTCGGTTCAAGACACGTATTTTGCCTCTTGACAATTGATGGCTGTCTTACAAGCGTTCAAGCATCGGTTCATAATTTCCTTTGATGACGTCAATTAATATATGGACAGCAAGGAGCAGTGCATTAGCTTCTGAAGGCTCGGCATCAAAGTCTCTTTGTGCTGTACGGTAGCGGCTAAACACAAACCACTTTATCTTTAGCCTCCCCATGCAATAAAGCCCGCCGTAACAGAAAGTAAAGCGCCGTTATGTCGCAAGCTCCACTCGAGATGCAAGGTAGTCGGAATTTTCAACACCTCGCTTGACATCAAGCCGGCCCGCAACGTAGCTCCATTAATAAATCGCACTCTGAACAACGCTGTTTGCTTGCTTTCTCATGTAGTAGTGAAGCAATTAAAGAGGCGAGGGATCTCAGGCCGATTTCCACCATCAAGCTTCAAAATATTAAAGCGTAATGAGTGTTACAAAATGAAAACACTTTTCCTTCCAGCCGATATGAGGCAGTTTATGTGAGAAGCCGCAAGGTGCTGATTTTATTGTTCATTTTTCTTTCTTAATGGAATGAAGTTGCTAAAGATACATGAAATCGATGTAAAATATACAAGTCTCTCTTTCAACGATTTCACAGATGCAACTACCACAAATGAAAGCATTTAATGTCACTCTTCGCAAATTTTTCGTGTGGAAGTAGGGTAACCAGGAGTAGCTAAGAAATAAACTAATGCATCAAACAATATCATCGATATTTTTCCAGTGAGTTGGTATCGCTAGTTATTCTTCTATTAAATAAGCACAGAAAATACAATTACTTCTCAAATAAATCTTTGATCAAGATTACCACGGAATAAATAAAATCAAATCTACTGGAAAATTGGGCTTCATTTCGTAAAAAGATATGTTCTTGATTTATGGTGAACAGAAAGATAATACAAATAGACGTTATCTCACGATTGAAGAACTCAATTTTCTTCAAAAACTAACAATAAAAATAGGCTTATCGATGGTAGAACTACTTATCAAATTCAAGGCTTTGATAGTAAATCATCGATGTGAAACATTTAGAGACCATGGTTGGTAAAAAAAACATACGAAAAGATCAAAATAATCATGACAGAAACCAAGGCTAAGTCGGTTCGTAAAGTACACAAACAATCGAAAAAGCTCATTCTCGTACCTTGGCATTTCAATAACCCTTACGAAGGAAAAAAATAACCAAAAGATCAGAAGCGTGCTTTCCCTCGGCTCCCACAGGAACAGGAGCAATTTAATTTGTTGTGACAAACTAAAAAGATTGCGAGCTACACGGGGAAGCCAGGACACCACGACCATTCCTAATTAATTGGCACACGTGTTTCCGGACAGAGTAAAAGAGGCAGCAGCAATACAGGTCTCTTACGCTGTCTTCATAATGATGACAAGTTGCAACACCGTTGCTTGTGTGCAGCAACGACCCGACGGCTTCACGCGTCCGAATGGACGACATTGCTACCTAACGCATCGAGTGCCATTACAAAAATGCACTCCATGAAAATATGTCTAGGATTAATAACGAACAACAGGATCCGAAAGAAGGATTGGATCACTATTTATTCCCCAACAAAAACATAGTGAAAAACCTAGAACACAGCTAGGTGTAAATTGCAAGTTCAAAAAATCTTACTTTACTCGCAATAAAATTAGAAAAAACTAACATAAATAGATCACGGTAGTAGCATCCGTTGAAAACTCTAAACTAGAAAATTGAGCGGTTAAAAAAAACTCCACAAGTAAAAAATATCACAGATCTAAGAAGAATTATTGTGCTACTCATTTTTAGCGAACAATGCTCATATCCTACAAATTTGTCCGCAGCACCGAAGTTTGAAGTCTCACTGGTTAATTTTATAATAAATCCCAGCACGAATGCATAACACAGCGGGTCATTAATTAATCCCTCGGCAGATGCAAGCAGAAAGAGGAAATCAAGTGCAGGCTTAAATAAGAGTTTGAAGCGGGATTTAAAAGAGATCAAGCATTCATAAGATAGAGGTTTGTAAGAGAGCTACAGCATACATTAGTCGCATCACAGCTTGCTCCTGAGCGCATCTTGATCTCATCGAGCGCCTCCACACGCTCCTGCGCACCAGGCAGTCGCTAAACCAAATTCATAATCAAATTCCATCGTCTTATTAGAGTTTGATTATTCATAAATGCTACACACCTGAATAATACATCTGGAAGTGAGTTTTTGCCGCTGTTAAAGCAGCAGCCACAAATTCATACACTCAAGTCTCATATTACGTATATTGAAGTTCCACGTAAAGGGTCTCTGAATGACGCTATTACAGAGACTGATGCGTGTGCGAAAGCCATCTCTAAGAAAAAATCGGGAGACCGCTCTGAAATTATGAGAGTTGCCATAAAATAGGAATAATACAGCACAGAGCTGGACCTGAACTGTAGCACGGCGTCCTATTGTGCACGCTCTGATAAACGGTCAATAAAATACAGGCAAAAAATAGAAATGCATCACG